GTGTCCCCAAGCATGGCAGCCATCTGGGGGGCCTGGGGACCGAGCGTCCCCTAGGGCTGCCAGTGTCTGTGGGCTGAGCCCCTCATTCCCCTGGGGGGTGGGTCCAAGGATTGCATTAACTCATCCCCCTGTCACCCCCAAAGGTGCCTGACCCCCCATGGGAGCCAGTCACCCCCAAGGGTGCCGGTCACCCCCAAGGGTGCCTATCACCCCCAAGGGTACCTGACACCCCCAAGGGTGCCTGTGACCCTCAAAGGACCCCATCACTTCCCAAGGGTGCCCGTCACCCCCAAAGGTGCCTGCACCCCCCAGGGGTGCCTGCCACCTCCAAAGGTGCTGGTTGCCCCCAAAGGTGCCCGTGGCCCCTGGGAGTGCCAGGAGCCCATCTGAGGGGCTGGAGCTGCTATCACCCCCAAGGGTACCTGACACCCCCAAGGGTGCCTGTGACCCTCAAAGGACCCCATCACTTCCCAAGGGTGCCCGTCACCCCCAAAGGTGCCTGCACCCCCCAGGGGTGCCTGCCACCTCCAAAGGTGCTGGTTGCCCCCAAAGGTGCCCGTGGCCCCTGGGAGTGCCAGGAGCCCATCTGAGGGGCTGGAGCTGGGAGATGCCAGTACCTCACCCTCCTGCCCCCTCGAGCTGCTGCTGCCTGGTGGCCTGAACCTTACAATTTTAGCTTTTTTCTATTAAAAATAAACAACCTTTTTTTAATTAAATAAAAGACAAAATGGACAAATTCCTGTTTTAGATGATCTGTGTAATTGACTGGGTTTTGTGTTTCTTAACTGCATGGTATTCCTGCCGAGGGGTTTTATAGCACTTTTTAAATTTCTCTTTAAGATTTTGGTCCAGATTTCTACTGCTCTCGCCTGTCTGTCTTTGCTTTTTCCTTGCCTCCTCCAAGTTTGTAAACTTGCTCCATTTTATACCTGATGTTGAGACCCAACCCCATGTTGTACATAGCTGCGGGAACAATCATAGGGAACAAACACCATCTGGACTCTTTCCACGATTAGTTGTTTTTACTTAAAAGAAATTTTAAAAGAAGTATAAAAGGAAGCCAGGAAAAGGCTTGAGGATATTACGAAAGACAGAAACAAATCCAGCCCTGCACCAAGTCAGCTCCTGCTGCCCACGCTGCCCGCACCAACCGGCATGTCTCTTCTCGGTCGTCTGTCTAACACCATTGGATTCAATAAAGTTATCTCCTGTACCGCCTGGCTGCTGGTCCTGTGTCCGGGAGACTGCGGGCCTGTCCCTGTGCGGGAGGGGGGTAGGACAGTTGTGCTTGTACCGCCACGTCTAACCCTGTCCTTGGTGGTCACCCCCCTGCAAAATCCGGGGAGGGGGACTTTGTAGAAATACTCCTGGTTTGAAATCTTGGCTGTTTTGCAAGATGCTGGGAGCGGTTTTACCAGTCAGGGACCCCTCTTCCAGGATAGCGCTCCTGTTAAAGTCTGGAGTGTGCAGAAATGCTGCTGGTTTGAAATCCTGGCAGTTCTGCAAGATGCTGAGTGGGGCATCCCTCTCCTGGGGCTCGGGGCGGGTGGGCATCCCCACTGGGCCCCTTTCGCCTCGCCAGGGCTGGTCCCCATCTCCCCTTTGAAAGGGACATGGGGGTGATGGATGCCACCCCACATCTCCAGTACAGGGGGACAGTTGTGGATGGTGTCCCTCGAGCGGCGACGGGTTCCTCTGCCCTGCGGCAGGGCGCGGGCGTGGGGACGAGGCTGCAGATACCAGCTGAGGGGAAGGGAGATCCCGGTCCTCCCCAGGGTGGCTCAAAAGCGGCATTCCGCTCCGCAGAGAGTGGTGCTGGAGTGGGGACAGATGCTCCAGGAGCCATTAATTAATCACAGGATGGTGATGAGTTGTAACAGGCTGCAGTGGCGAATGCAAGGCCAGGAGAGGGCACTTCCCATCGGCGCCGTGCTCCAGTCCAGCGGGTGGATTCAAGTAAGTTCATTACCAGTGGGTGCAATCCCGAACCTGGAGAGCGGGACTGGTTTTGGGGAGCCATGGCCCCTCATCCACAGAGATGTGTCACATGCATGTTCTCCAGCCTGTGCGCGCTCT